TAATATTCCATTTTTTGTCTTCATCTTAATTTTTATTTTGATTCTGGTATTTTGTACTCTTTTTTAGGCGTGAATTTGTAAAACTATTTTTTGAGAAATAAAAAGGTTGAAAGTTTTTTGTTTTTGCAAGAGACAGCAAGCACTTGCTTTGCAACAAAGCAGTGCCACACACTGCCAATAAAAATTACTTTTTTGAGTACAATTTGAAAAAAAAAGGATCAATTTCTTATGGTTTGCTTAACACTTCTAAGCTTCACCTTTTCCAGAAACGTTGTTCAAATGTTGTGTATTCAGACGCATTCTTTGTCCTAAAAGACACTGATCCTTCTGGCTTAAAATCAGACCGACTTTACATGTTATCTATGCAAACTGTAAATAACTGCAATAATTTTAACTAAATTTTAAGAAGTTCAGACGACAGTTTAATGTTGATGACATTCATACAGTACCGTTTAACCAGTTCTGATGAAAAAGATGAAAATATTTCTTTCTCATTCCTTTAGTACTGCTATCGTCGGTGTTATGGCTGCTCTATGATGTGATGCTTACATGATTATTCAAATTATTACACTTTTTATGTATACGACCTTCCTAGTGATAATATCAGTTAAATCGGGCAATTTTATTTACTTGGTAAAAGAAAAAAGTGCTTGTTTTAGGCAGTTGTTTATGCATAAAGTTCATTTCTCCCAGACAGCCTTAAGCAGTGTTTTTAAAATCGTTGAATAAAACATCAATTTTTCTGAACAAAAACCTGGCGTTTTTCGATCAAAACTTTATGCACTTTTTTATTGCAAACGAATTCTGCTGTTAGCAAAGATTAAAGATTACATAAAAAGCCATGACTTCCTGATTCCAGGACTCACTATATACAAAGAAATTCAATTTGTCTATTTGGTTAATTGGCTCTTTCTTTTCTACACTTCATAATTGTTCTGTTAAGCCATCCAAGCTGTATTAAAACTATGCCACGGATCAGTCCACCAAACAACACCTAAAAATCGTCAACCAGTTACGGTTTGATCCATTTAATTATAAAAACTCACGTTCAAGAACTACAAAATAAAGGTTTTAATGCCTCAAAGAATGAAGTAGAAAGTTCAAACAGCAGTAAAACTTCATTTGCTGCTGTTGAATAGATTTGTTGACAAGGAAACCTAGACACCTGGATCAGAACTCTAAAAATGCTCGATTCTTGGCTTGTTCCGTTAGCAGCATATCCTAGTATGTTACCAATTTTACCATATGATGTGCTGTAAATGCCGCTTTCAATATTTTCTACGTAATCTCGGGCTATTCGCTTTGGATCATAGAACCCTACAGGTGCACAGATTCGACGAATTTCTTCTGGCCAATTAGCCACTTTGACCTATTAATAAATCAGATACGCAAAGCCGTAAAAAATTATAGTTTCGACTGACTAAACAAAAAACTGTACTAAACTGGTGTACTAAATTTCTACAACATCTGTCTTCTTCATCGGTTGTCTTTTATTTTTATTACTGGAAAGGGCTGGAGAAAAATAAATAATTAAAATTAAGTTTTTGTGCAGGATGTTAAATGGGCATTCAAATAACAGAGATTAACCTTGTATCCTTCATTGATTGTAGCTGGCGGGTATGTTATCGAAACTCCGATATTGTACGGCAGCAGCTCCACCAGCAATGATTCAGCAAAACCCCGTAAAGCCCATTTGGAGGCACAATAGGCCGTATAACCCCATAATGGGATCTGCGATCCAATAGAAGCTACAAAACCGATGTGTCCACTTCCTCTTTCTTTCATTCTTCCAAGCACAGCTTTAGTTAAGTAAACCTACGATGAATCAATGTTCAAAAAAAAAAAAAAATAGGACTTTTTATACAAGTGTTTCTAAGCAAGAAAAGATAAAAAACTTTCAATCTTCATAATTGTGAAAACTTAAAGTCACCTGAAGTTCCTCGCTTGTGCAAACTTTGAACAAATGGTAATCCAAAATTTGTTATATTGACATAAAGAAACAAACATTTGCTTGTTTTTCTTTGAAGATTTTAAATTACACGAAGATGTTTTTTCAACAAACATACTGTGCTGAAATAGTTGATCATCATCTGACTTTCAAACTGGTCAAGGGTAAGCTTATCGAATTCGCCTTCGACCGACGTTCCAGCATGATTAATTAGAATGTCGATATCTCCTCCATGCCGTATTGCCTCTTTCACGACAGCTTCTGTCTACATTTCAGAATTTCAGCGCTTACAACAGTGAACATAATACCTTTCCGTAGCTGTATTTCAAACTGGCACTTATACGAGGTTTAATTTTCACACGTTTGTAGAGCAATGAACGATTTTGACCATTAGTTGTGTAAACATCTTTACGAATAGATCCCAGACAAAAATTACCGATTCGTAAGAATGTGTTCCATCCAGCACGAAACCATGCACTTTGGCGTTTCTACAAACTGATTTAGCAAAACTGTCCAGCTCTTCTCTAGCCTGTTCCAGTTTTTTGGGCTCTCGAGCAGCAACAGATATTGAACATCCACGTTTTATCAGTTCAAAAGCAATTTTTTTGCCAACGCCAGTAGAACCACCTAAAAACTTTTAAATTTTCTTTTACTCATGCTCGCCGGTTGTCAGTCAATTAGAACCATAACTTTGAGTTTGTTATTTTTCTGTTTATAAATGCTTCAATTTTCCTCAATATTTTTATCTGTTTTAAAAAATTCCATTTTCAGTAACTTTCGATTTAAAAAGTTCAGCAAAGTTCAACGTAATTTTCAGCAGTAAACTTTTCTTTCTCCAAGAATTTTGTCGCATTACTGCAACAGTGAATAATCGACATAGACAACGCTTTTGATACTCCTTCAAAATACTTTCATTTTTCAACCTCTAGACAGCACTTTTTATAATAAAGATAACTGAAGATCTCTCTTTTTGGTATTTACCATGTTCAAAAAATTGAAAACACCCAGCAAATCAAATGGCGATATTCAAAATAAAAAAAGGAAGATGTCAAAACGTTTCGTTGCCGATTTTGAAAACTCGATGGATGTTTAATTCAATGAGTCAATGTACACTGCCAATAAACCTGTTGTTAACACAATAAATTAACCTAAGCAATGTTTAAACAAAATACACACTAAATTTTTTTACTTTCCTCTTCCCATTTCTCAAATTTTCTCGTTTTTATTTGAAAAAAAGCAGCGCCTAAAAAATTGTGGAAAAAAAAACATTTAACAATTGCCAACCTGTAATTAAAGCATGTTTGCCTTTAAAATCAAACTTTTTGCGGCTTGGAAGTGACACTAGAATGGCGATCCAGAAGAAAATATAGACGACTGCTACAATGATTGCCAAGACCGTGTAGGTACACAAAGTCATTGTTAAACTGCAAGAACAAAGCAATAAGCAAAAAAAATTGCTTAAATTTATTGTCTAAATAATTGGCAATAAAAATAACAGGCATTATCAACTGCTTACTGTGAAGATCAGTAATGCAATTGTGATTAGGTGAATCGGTTGACGACTACAGTTTACTGTTGACTACTTAGTCCACTCACTGTTACCGACAATAAGCCTTTGTGTTTAGTCGACGAACATCCTACACAATCGTCGTTTATATTGGAAACTATATAATTCAAAAAATTCAAAACAGTCTTTTTTTTCATCTTTCTAACAAAAACAACAATATCATTATCATCGTCATTGCCATCATCATCATCATCATCAAACTCAGCATTATGAACATTATTCACGTCACAGCGGACAACAATCAAAAAAAAACATAACATTATTCCGCCACAACTACTGACACATTGTTTCGGAATCATAATACCTCACGAGTTTGAATCAGTTGAACAAAACAGCAGTTTCAGTATCAGTATCTGCACTAGCATCAATAGCAAC